TAATATATACCATACAACTTCTTTTTCAGTATGTTTAGATAAGGCTCCTGATAAATAGTATTTAAAAACTGAATATTAAACAGAATTTATTCCAAAGGCTTTGTGAAAGTCTCTCATAGAATCCATAACATAATTAGTAGATTCTGAAGATCCTAAAATGAACCCGAAGATTCTACTAAATTTAATAGCTTGTTCTTCTTATTTAGTTCCTTTAAATAATGGACTCAATGAAAAATCTTCAAAAATTTGAGCATACATATTTTTGGCTATAGTTCTTATACTATCTTTAACATTTTGAACAGAGCGAGACTATTATAATAATTAGAATGGATACATTGCATATAATAGCTCCTCTGTAATATTCAACTTTCTATGCACATTTAAATATAATTTCCATTGATATTTTCATATCTATTAATTTTTTGATATAGAGATACTTAAACCTATTAAACATTTCATCTGTTATATTAAGATTCATATGCAATTACTTTAAACTTTCAAAATGATATGTTAATTTATTTCCATTACTTAAATCTATTAATGCTTTAACAACACCTTTCATTTCATGAGCACTACCAATAACAGGTCCAATTAATTCATCCTAAACTAATACTTATCCGAATTCTTTTGCATAATCATCTAATCCTTCCATTTTTTCAAATTCACTATGTCTTGTAATACCAGTTTTTGGTCTAAGTTAAATATAATAATAATTGTACTTTTTATCTTTAAATTAAGATAGAATGTCTTTAATTGATTTTCCTGAAGAGAATGGACACTACTATTATTATACAGATTATTATGATTATTACAATTATTGAATTTATTGAGTTTAATGATACTGAGACTTTTTGAGAACCATATTACTACTGACCATACTAGTGTTTTCATCTCTTGAAGTTTTAACACTTCCATTAGATGATTTAACTTTATTCTTTACAGTAAACAATCTTTAGAAATGACGACTTGAACCAAGATCAAATTAATTGTTCTCTTCAATTTAGATTATTTAATTTTTTTGTTTCTTTTATGCCTAAGGAGTAAGTGGTTTTGAAGCAGTTGATAATCTTTCAGAATCAATAATACATCTAGCAGAACCTCCTTTTTTTATTTACCAAAAATTATTTGGTTATGTACAATCTAAGGAGGGTAACTTTTAGAATAAATGATCTCTTCTTGAAGTTGATACATCTTGAATCTCTTTGCTAGATTTGCTAAACATTATTTGGCTAGAGGCATTTTGTTTGAACTCATCAGAGTCTCCTCTAATCATTAAAGAAAGATAATTAATTATTAAATTATTTGTAAGGTAGTAATAATATAATAATCATCTAAGAAATAGGTTTTTACTGGAACACATTTCTTGCTTATCTTAATTATTTTACTCAGTGCCAAGTCTCCAAAATATCAAAGTTTCATCACCAGCTGCAGAACAAAGCATAGATTAATCAGGAGATATGCCTAAATGCAAAACTCTTGATTTATGTGCTTAAAGTTCTTAAATCAATTTGGCTTATTAAATTACTTCTGCATTCCATATACTAATTTAGAATTTGGAAAAACCATGTGAAGAAATCAGTTCTCTATATCTTGGTAAAAACTATAATGCACACACTTATGATCCTGTATCTATACTTTTGAAACATAATCCTGTATCAGAATTCCAAAATTTAATATTTTTATCATTAGAACCTCCTCCACTAACTAAAATATTTGGAAACCATGGACACCATGCCATAGCTTTAACAGCTGCACAATGACCTTCACATGATAAACGTAATGACATTTATCTTTTATCCCATAATAATAATTAGTTATCATTTGCTCCACTACTTAAAGTAGTTCCAGATTAATTCCATTTCAATCCACAAACTTCTTAAGTATGTTTCTAAATTACACCTACAACATTATTATTCTTTTCTCTTAAATCATGATTAAAAATAACATTATCTCTACCAGAAGTTGATAATAATTCAAAACTACTACTCATTGTTGAAACTCTTTCATTATGATAATATAACTAAGTAATTGTTTATTATGAACACACATCCACTATTTTAATAGAAGCATCATCAAAACCTACTCCTAAGATATGATCATTTATCCAATGAACTGCAGTAACATTTGATGTTGCTTATAATAATTATTCTATATGCTCTATTTTATAGTAATATTATATATTACAATTTGAAGCATTCCATAAATATACTTTATTTTGTAATCCTACTGATAACACATTATTATTGCCCCATTCTAAAATATTTAGATAAAAATCATCTGCAATATCTGGAGCATCCAATATTTTCTCAGGAACTTAACTAATTTATCTTATAGTTTATTAAGTAGGTAATCTGTATTAATTATGTAACTAATCCAAAAATGATATTGGATAATTATGCTGTTATTTTTGATTTCCAAAATTAAGCACTTTTTCTTCATTTATATGATACAATAACTACAATATTAAATTAAAGTACATCATTATAATTTGATTAAGTATGTGATTGATACAACAATTTCGATTTACTTTTCGGAATAAATCTGTCCATATATATATCCGTTAAATTAATAATTATATATAAGAATAATATACTTTTATTTTGTTTCAAACTCAAATATTAACTTTAATTATATCAATTTTGTTTTATATATCAAATTTCAATCTATATGATTTAAAATGAATGAAAACGATATTTTCATACTTAATTCTTAATTTAATTTAAGTTAGGCAAATTATTAATAAAAAATATTAATAATTATATATAAAATGAGTAATGCAAAGTATTTTCATATCAATACCTTTAGATCTGATGGTGAGAATTAAAAATTTATTATGGGTGATGAACCTTTGAGATTTCAAAATTATGTTGCTGGATAGGATGAACAACAAGGTATAAATATATTCAAATCTTAGTCCCATAATAAGATCAAAATTTAGAATATTACAATGAATATCTAAGACTTTATATAGCAAATGTTGTTTTAACAAATTAAGTATTATATAGAATTTATATTAGTTAAAAGAACTTTTGAATGAAAAGAATGAACTAGTCAATAAATTAAATAAATTAGAAGTAATTTTTAATATCACCAAAATTCAAGCGTCGAAATTAAGAGCTCAATTCAAATGTTGAAGAAACTGGAGAAGAAAGAAAGAAAAGATTAAGAAGACCAGCATAAGAAATTGAAAGACATTTTACATGTCCTATTGAAAATTGCTAAAAGAAATATGGGTAAAAGTTCATAATAAGTGTTTTTTTTAGAGCTGAAGGGTCTCTCAATTAACATATCAAACTTAAACATCCAGAATTAGTGAAAGATAGAACATTTTATAAATCAAATGAATAATCACAATAATAAGGAGAGCCTGAATCATTATCAGATCTAAAACAAGAATAAAATTAATGACAAATAATTAAGATAATATAAGTTATTTTAAACATATCTATAAACTTTTGATTTATTAATTTAATGTTCTTAATTTCTTCTATAATATTATATTTCTTAATAATTAAATATAAATTCAAAATTATTATATTTATATAGTACATCTAATATTGGTTAATAAAGATTATATTAGAAAAAACATAATATAAAAAATTATTAATTTAAAATACTTCTAGATAATACTCATGATGTTGAGCCTAATTTGATTGGTTACAGTACTTCTTTTTCTGCTTCATCTTTATACTGTCCACCTAAGCAATTTTAGAATATCTTTAAAATTTAATTAAATGTAATAGTTGCAGATTATTATCTTTAAACAATTGAATAACCTTAAATTATATTAATAACATATTTACTTTTAGCAACTTCATCAAATACTTTAGCATTTAATTTAACTCCAAATGGCCAAGCAATGTAAATATCAAATCTATTTAGATTATTAATAAAATGAAAGATCTTTTTGCATTAAGTAAATCCTCTATCAAAAGTAAAAAAGATTGCACCATAACTAGGAGGAATTGAATTAAATAAGATTTTCAATACAAAATAAATTAACCTATCAGAATAATTTCTGATTTAATTATCTCCATTTAATTCAATATCTCCTTAATATTATATTGCCAAATCTACAATATTTGTACATAATATCATGAATTCTGTTTCAACTTCTTAATTCAAAAGTGCAGCATTTATGGTTGAATATGCAAACTTAGCATCATGATAAAGATTTTAAATATTATCACTTTTAAATTGAACATCTAATATTGGTACTAATTTTGATAATTATGAATCTTTAACTTTCTTACAAATAACTTCTAAATTTTCATTCTATTATTTGCCAAGTTCATATTCCACTTTCAAACATACAAATTAAATTGATGGTTTATTTTAATATCCGAAATTCTTAAGTTCTGTGGCTAATTCTTTTGGATCTTCATCTTTTAATAAACAACATCTTTTAATAGTTGATTGAGTTGTTTAGAAAAATTCTAAGGGTGTGTTTTTTTCATCTAGTATTTATTTTCTACTAAATTATTCTTTTGCTAAAATCATCTATATAATATAATATATGTTTTTACAGCAGATACAAAATCTTTCATAACCAAATCATTATAAAACACTTCCAAAAATTACTATTCAAAATTATCCAAATTTTCTAATCTTTCCTTATGAAATTCATAATATTCATTTTCTTATCCTATTAATGGTTAATGGAGAAGTCTATAATAGATTTATTAGATTACGATTTTAAGTAATTTAATTATGTTTCATCATTAAAAGTAGAAAAATCCAATATTATTGATTTATGGCTTTATTCCAAATAACATTCAGTTAATGATTGTATCTAGTTTTTCAGAAAGTCGTTGATGGTTAACATAATAGAATTAAATAAATAATAAATGAAAATTTGATCATACTTTTATATAGTTATAAACCCAAATTTTAGAAATAATGGTCTAATTTCTAAATGATGATAAATATATATACAAAAAATATTTTCTATTATTAGGTATTTCTTTTTATATAAGAAATTTTAATTAATCAATAAGAATATGAATTTAAGTCCAACAAAAATGTAATCTAAAATAGATCTAAAGATGAGAAAGAGTGGAGTACCAGTAGCTTTAAAAAGATCACCATAATTTTAATTATTAGATTGTTTCATGTTAACATATTTTCATCTTCCATCCTTTGCTGAGTAAATTTTATAATATGATGTATTAAGACAATTAAAAAATAGGATTCTATTATTAATGAAGAAGGAGTGACTTTACTTTTATAAAAGTTATTTATTTAGTTAATATTTTGTAAAAAGAAAGATACTTCAGCAATAGAAGTATATTAATATATGAAAGATGATTATAATACTAGATATAAAAATATTGAAGAATTTTTAGTTAGATTTTTTGATAAAGTTGATGAATCAATTTCAAAATATAGAACAATGCTTAATGAATTTGTTGAAGAGCATCCAATTAGAGAATTATTTATTGGAAAATTAATGATAGGAAATGTAGAAACAACATTTAATTTGATAAAGATTGATTTAGATGATGAATCATTTATGGAAGGTTTATAAAAGAAATTTGAAATAGAAGATTGTTCAATAAAAGAATTACCAAAAATATTATAATTTGAAATAACAAGAAAAACTAATTTTGTTTTAATGCCAATTATATATATAGATTAATATATGTACTCTAATAAAGGAACAATTAAATAACATTAATCAGATATCAAAGAATTAACAATAAAAAGAGAAGAAATTGTATAAAAGATAAAAAATATTGAAAATTATTAATAAACATTATAAAGTATTCCTTAAATCTTGTAAATGACAATAAATATTATATAAGAATAAAGAAATGAATTAATTGATGGAGATCCAGCAATTGAAGGATTTTTATCATTAATTATTGATGCAAATTAAGAATTAGAAAAATTAAAAGAAGAACTTAAAAAAATGGATCAATAAATTAAATTAATCATGGGAAATTTCAATAAAATAGAATATCATTTACATGCTGTTATTATATATGATGGAGAATATGAATGTGTTTATATTAATAATAATAATGAATAATTCTTTTTTTTTGAAGATGGATTTGTAGAAATAAGAAAGAAATTTGAAATTGAAATGCATTATTCTCCAGAAACAATTGTATATTTAGTATATAAAGATAAAAATCTTTAAAGTGAATATAGTTTTACAGGTGGATAAGGTAATCTATTAGATATGGATCATAGAAAATCTTATGAATCTTTAATTAGAAAAGAATTATAATAATATGCTGTTTAGTTTAATTAAAAAGTTGATTAAGAATTACTATTCTTAAAATAATAATAATAGGCAGAAGAAGTATTTTAATAATATCTGATAAGATTGAATTAAGTTATTTAATTAATTTAAAAAAAACATACTATTTAAGTACCTCATTTAAATAATTTTGCTACTTTCTTATTTTATACTTAAAAGAAAATTGATGATTATGTAAAATGGTAAATATTGGATTGTAGTATTAGAGATGTTACAGGTTAATCCATCTCAGATATTAAAAATATGAATGCTTTTGCTTAAAAATTAAGTGTGTTGTTATAAAATTAACCTTAAAAGGCACCAACTTAATTAACAGTTAGTAAAAAAGATATGTAAATCATGTAAATTAGATTGACTGAGTATGTCTAATATGAATAAAGCACAAAAGTATTAACATATTCTTTAGAATGTATTCTTTAAGAATAGAAATTGCTAGCATTAAATGCAATTAGATTTATATATGAGAATGGCTAAAATAACATTGTTGCCCATCTTAGTTAAGAGATATTTAAGGCTTTCATGATTCATTTATCTATTTAAGCTATTAAACTTCATCAACAATAAAATTATTTCTTATTTTGGGATCATATTTAATGGATTATAGCTTATTGGCCATATATGAACTAATAAGATTTAGTTCATTAATAAGTATTTGTAATGATAAAAGATATTAAAAAAAAAGCCAATAAAAAAGCATTAAATTCTGATTAAGAAAAAATTATCAAAAAATTTATATCATCTGTAGAGGATAAGAAGCCTACAGATTTAGGAAACAATATTTTACTAAGATAGGATCCTGTAATAATTTCATAATATTTAAGGTTTTAGAAGCTATAGCTATAATTGATTGGAATTAGGATCATTATTATTGGTTAAATGAAAAATCAGATGATATTTCCTAATAACTATTAACGAATACTTAATTGATTTAATAGTTTCTTTAACTTGAGTTTTAATTTGTTAAAACAATTATGTAATAACAATGTACTTTTACTTATGATGAAAGGATCAAAATGATGCTACATAATTAATTATGATTAATAATATTATTATATTCTATCATAAAAGAATATTGATTATTCTTTATCATTTATAAATGTGCTTTTGGATATTTTTATTTTAATCTATTTTAACTCTTGATGCTAATCTTTTGATTTTTTAATTATCAAATTTGATCATAATAGATTAATATTAGTGTAAGATAACAGTCTCATTATTGAAATCTTGTAATTATTTTTTTAATATTATTTTTATATTAAATTTTTGTCTTTTTCATTATTCTTTCAGCCTTATAAAGGATCAGTATTATATTCAAACATATATACTTAAACTTATTTTAAAATAGATTATTTTCATAATTATCAAAAGTTTGTTATGGAGTCTATTATTCTAAAATTTTGTTGATTCCTTTTCAATGATATTCTGATGTTCTTTCCTAATTTCTCTATTAACAATAATTTCAAATTTAATAGACTTTAAAATATATGATAATGATCTATATTAATATTTTTTTTTATTTTTATTCATTACAATTTTATCTATGCTTATTAATTATCAGAAAATAAATGCAATTTAGTAGAATTTAAAGTAAGATCTAATAAATATCTCTATTTATAGTATCTTCATTTCTTTTTTTAAATCCATTTTGATTGATATTAATTCTATGAAGCATATACTTGTTTATCCTATAGATAATTAGACAATTTTAATGAAAAAGTATAAGAAGCCTAACTGTTTTTAGAAATAAATCAAATAATACTAATTGATATTTTAAGTTGAATACTTAATACATCTCATCTATAATTTTCAATTAATTTATGTATAAACTTTCAATAAAATAATAAGTAATAGATATAAATTAAGTTAGTTTTTAGCATAAAATGTTAAAATTGAGATTCTTAATTTTTATCAGAATTTTTACATAAATATATACAAGACAATAACTTAAAATAAAATAGCATATTGGAAGTGTAATAATTTTACTTCATTAATTAATTAATTCAATCATAAAACAGTTCTCTAAATTGACCTTAAACCATATTTATCACTTTTTTATATAGTTCGAAATCAAATGTCTAATCTAATTCTGTAAATTCTTTTGCTTCTAAATAACCATCATCATTTAATTTGCCTCTTATTTCTAAAAGGATATCTTCATTACTATCAGGAACTTCTTCAATTTCAGTCACTTTTACAATTGCTATATAAAATCTGATAATTTTTACTTCCATCTACCATAAATTCAACATAATCTCCTTTGTTTTATATTAATTTTCCAACAAGTGTGACATATTAGCCTTTAAATTTTGTTATCATGTCTGCATTTATTCTTTAATAACTAGTTGGAATATCTGTCATAAATTTATTATTTAAAATAAAAAATGCGCTCACTTAAAATATACAAGAAATTCTGATACTCAAATTTAATTATCTATTGTATAATACTAATTAAATGAAATCAAATGATTAATATATTTATAACATAGAAATTATGAAATAGATTTTATTCAATTGATATCAAATAAATGAATAAAAAATAAAGAAATAATAATAATTACTATCTACAAAATTACTTTATACATAATTATTTTGTATATAAGATAAATTAGATATTTAATATACTTTTTTAATAGAATTTCTATTTCTATATTCATTATAACCTATAAACAATCACTCATCTTGATAATTAATTTTTGTAATTATCCCAATATTATTATAAACTTATCTTAAAAACTGAATTAAATTGATAAGGAAAGCTATTAAATTTAACAAAATTATCATATATGAATGGTGAGATAAGTTCATCTAAAATAATTAATTTTTTAATAAATTCTTCTGTCTCTTTAATAGGTTTTACTGGATATATCTAAGTTCTTAAATCTGTTGTAATTGATCTATGTGAAGACTATTTCCACTCTTCTTCAATCTAATTAATTTTATTTGATTCTGTTATAATTACACCAGTACTATATGATGTTAAAGCTAAAATAAAAATTAATTACATATTTACTCATTTTAATTATTTCAATCATAAATTTTATTTTTGGTAAAATAAATAAGTCTGGTTATAATAAGAAAGGATCAAAGTTTCTTCTTTTTTCTTGTTTTGCAATCTTTTTTTCTTTTAATAACTCTTTTAAATCATCTAGCTAACAATTTTCTGCTAAATAATATCTATAATTTAATTCAGGATATCCATTAATTACTATAGGTGTTGTGTGATGATAACTAAATAAAAATGGAGTTTTAAGAATATCAATTATTTCAATTTCCTTATCAAATACAGATTTAGTAATTTCACTTATATTAGTTGGATTGATAATAAATTAAGAGTTCTTAGATATATTATTTTCAAAAATCCAATTTACTTTATTTTTATGTAAATGAACATCTGGTAAAGTGATAGGTTATGGATTAATAAGGAAAGTTGGAGTAAGTTTATTTTCAATAAAAGATTTCCATGTTTATTTGTAATTACTTTCAGTTTTAATAAAAAATGGATCATCTACAGGCAAATCAGTCATTATAACTTATGGTTTCAAATGAAATAGAGCATCTAAAATTATTAATTAAATTTCTTACCATAAACATATGTAGAATGCTATGCATTATGTCTTTAAACACCTAATAAAATGAGATGTCCTTAAGTTCTAATAGGAGATGCTAAATTTCTGATTTCTAAATTATTAGGAACATTTATTTTTGTTTATTCTTATTCTTATTTTGTGTTTTATTCATTATTAGTGTTTTGATTTTCACTCTCAACTACTATTTCATCTTTATTTTTCTTTTATTTTCCTTTATAAAGTAATTCTATATCTGCAGGATCAACTTCCATACTAATTAAATGTTTCTCAAAATTTTTCTTTTTTTCTAATTTAATTTACTCAAGAATGCCAGCTTATTCATCTTTTAATTTTTAAAATTCATTTATTGATTAATATTTTAGTTTGATTAACTCATCATCCCTTTATATATACATAGTATTTACGATTTTGCATTCTTCATTTTATTCATGTAATCCTTAACTAATTCTACTTAAGCTTTCTATTATTTCATTAGATTATCATAAGCTTTAGTTTTGTGGATATTGGCAAAAAAATAACGAAGCTTGATCATTCTTTAATTATATTTGATATTATTTAATATATAATAATTCTTCAATCGCTTTCGATTGTAAACATTCTCAATGTACCTAAAGCAACACTTCCTAAGAATTGATAGAATTCTTCCTAACAAATTTTATTAGTGACATACTTCAGTCTTGAATGAATCTTCTTATTATAAATGTCTTCTATAATTTCTAATTGGTCTTAGAACATTTCTTTCAAGTTTTCTATTAAATGGTGGTACAAATATATATCCAATAGTTACTGCACCTGCTGTTCCTAATGCTATTTTTGCAAAAACCATTTTATTTATTTTAATATTTTAATAAAATAAAATTAAACTAGAGATAATATTATTATAAAAAACAAAACTATACTGTGTTATTTTTATAACTAATATTTATTTGATATTAAAATTCTTATTAAATATATAAAACTATTATTAGATTAGATATATTAATTAAATCATAAAATACTTCTTTTAAGAAATTTATAGAAATTTCAAATACTTTTGATGTTAATGTTTTGCATAATTTCCCTACATTAATAATATTTGAATGAAAAGGATCGAAAAAATATATCAAATGATATTATGATAACATTAATATTATACAAAAAGGATTTTGTTCTGCTTTTTATATTGAATCTAATATTTATAAAATGATTACAATTAAAATTAATTTTATTTAAATAATTATAAATCGCTTTTTTGAGATCAATAATTTTGAAAATTAACTACAATTTAATTACAATTTAATTATTTAAGATTTGTTATTAATTTAGTTAAGCTTTTATTAAATCATTTCAAGTTATAGAAAGGTATTTCAATATATATTTTTGAATAGAATTAATAATAATTATTATAAGGCATTTAATTTTTAGATTTATAATTCTATATTCATATAAATATAAGATTTACCATTAAAATTAAAAAATCTTATATATCTAAATGGTTTTATTTATTTATAAATTTATCATTTTTATTTTAAGTTTCATAAAGGTTTCTCATATGAAATTTACTATTAGCATATACAAATAATGCCATATTGAGATTTATAAATAATTATTGAAGTGAGGTGAATTAATTTATTTTATTTCTAATTTTATTAATTTCAAAATAGTGAAATAAGAGAATATTATTTATATGATATATGAAAAATATTCTAAGATTTTATAAAATTTAATAAACAAAATTAAATTTATTATAAAATTGAATTATTAATCAAATTATTCTTTTTTTTATTTTTGTAAATGCAAAATTTGTATCAGAAGCAAGATAGTCGAATTAAGCAATTTTAGAATTACTTTTAGATTAGTTTAAGATAAACCTACTGGTTTTTTTTTATAATTAACCTGTTTCATCTATCATCTATTTATGTACTCCTTCAATATCATTAATTAGTTATTGAATTTTTTAGTTATAGTTTCTTTGAGATTTGGGTTCTGTTTTTATTTTAAATTGAGACTTTTATGGTCTTAATTCTAACCCTTGTAGGTGTTTAGAATGAGAATATTTTGATGATGATGGATCTCTCTCTGAATTTAAAGCAATATTTTAATTACTAATTGATTATCTAGGGGATAGATGTATCAATGAGTATTTCTTATTAAATATTCTTGTAGATTGTCTATTCAAATTTGCAATCATTCTCCTAGATTTCTCAGCAAATTGTTTACTAACTTATTCATAATTTGGATGTTTTGATTTGAATTCGAGTATTTCGCTTTTACTTATTTTCTTTGTTCCAACTGTTATCATTTCTGATTATTCTTTTTCTAAGTGATTGATCAATTAATCAACATCTTCATAAAAATTATCAGAGTTATAATCTCCATTAACAAATGTGCTTCTCTGTTATTATTACCTTTGAATTTCACAAGTTGCTAAGGGATCCAATATTTTATTAGATGGCTTTACAATTGATTTGAGTATAGATTTGGCATCTATAAAGGTATCGAGTTTAGTGAATGGAGTTAAGAGATCATTAAATTTCTTTTCTTTATCACCTACTAGTATTTTAAACTTTTGTAAATTCCTTTTTACAACAGAAGCTACTCTTTGTTACTCAAATTACTTGTTCATATATAATAATCATAAATCTTTAATATTTACACATGCTTTCTAATATCGATTTTAATTAGTCTAAGTCATTTAGGAATCCAGTAATCCAATCAAAATGCTAATTTGAAGAAGACTATTCATAATAAGCATCAATTTATTGTTATTTAAGAGAGGTATCTGAGGAGAATTAGCTTTTTGATTGGTTTACTGGATTCATCTATTGAATTAGATCTAATGAGTAAAGATATTTCCTACATTTATTCATAAATCTTAATTAGATCCATATTACAATCAATTTTATATCTAAAAACTAATTTAATAATATTATTATTAAGAAGATAATTGTATTTTCAAGATCTTATTATTAGCTTTGTTTTATAATAATTAATCAATATGCTTTTAGATTTGATTTCTAATTTTTTGTAATCATATTTGAATCTCAAGGATCACAGAATGAATTCTATATCTTTCAACAAATAAGCCTATAAAATATTTAATATAAAGTAGATAATTTCTTAATCTCAATTTAATAGAAAAACTCTAAACTCTTTTCTAAATCTATCTTTCAAGCTTACTTAATTATTTAATATTTTTATTTGACATCTTAATTTAAGTTCTTTTAACTTGATAATATAGAAAATGTTTTGGAAAATCTGTTTCATTCAATAGTAATATTTATTTCTATTTTAAGGTAATATATTCTTTTTATATAATTCCATAGATGGAATTAGAATCTATAATTAGATATTTTTAGTATTAAATTAATAGTTTGATTATTATGTTTATTACAATATTAAATAGATTTCTGATTATAAAAACTAAATAGATTTAATAAAATATCTAATTATGATATATTTTTAAATAGATAAAGATGAATTACACATATAATTATTTTCAGAAATTTGGTGAATATAAAGTAACATCACTACAATCATCCAAAAAGTGCTAAGTTTCTGATTCTCTTAACATAAGTGAATCTGTTGATTCCATTTAATCAGGATTTACAAAGCTATCTTTATTTTAGAAACTAATTAAAACTTACTTTTTCAAAGGTAATTTATTTATAGAATTTTGTTTGTTAATAATTATATCAAATTATTGCAATCTATTTACATAATTTTACAATATCATCTAGAATGATTTTGATTCTACATTTTGGATTATATTTTATGCATTATTTATAATATCTTAACTAATGTTTTCAATTTCTGCAAGAATTTCTTAGATGTTATACTTTAATGATATTTCTTTTTTTGTTTTTGCAGAATCATATAATTATTTAGCTAATTCTAAGAATTCATTTAATTATTATAACTTTTTATTCTATTCTATAGTGATAGGTTCTTCATATTTCAAAGTCCAACTTCTTTATTATTGTTTTTTAGGAATTATAGAATTAGTTTTCATATCATATATGAATCCATCATAAGCTTCTTAAATAGCACAAAAAGAACATAAATATAATCTCTCTTGTTTTTCATTTACTTTAAAATATTTTGCTTTTTTCTCTGCATGATTTATGCAACAAATAGTTTGTTAAATATTTCGAATACTTTATTGTCTTTATTTAATTATTTATTAGTACAACTCTTATGTTTATTATTTATCAATTTTATTCTATTCTTCTTGTTAAATTTGCTTTTAGGGAGTAACATTGTTTGACTTATAGTTTTATTATTAATATGATTATTGTTATTATCTTAATCTGATATTTTGATTTAAAACATTTAAGATTGCTTAACTAGATTGAATTTGAGAACTATTTGGTGATCTGCTATGTTTACTAACATTCAAGCTAGCATGATCTGATTTTGTTGGAGTTTTTGTATATTTATAACTATTTTCCTTATGTCTTGTAGTTTTTATTGAAGGTTAAATAAATGAAACATATGTCTATTTTTATTATCTACAAGATAAAGGCTGTTAAATTTCAATTGCAGAAGTTAAATTAGACAATTTAGGAATGAGTGGCTGCTTTTTATATGCAGTTTTAATCATTTCGTTAATAATTTAAAAAAATCAATAGTTCTGATATTAGTCACATCTAATTTTACAAATTAGACATTTGCAGCTTTATCTAACCTAAAACTTATATATTCAAAATGAAAATAAAGGACAAAAATGAATAAATTATGATATATATGATAAGGTAAAGTTCTCAAAAAGATTTCTTCTTCAGTATAATCCATTCAGCAGATCATGTATTTAAAAAAACTCATTTACCTTTTTAGGTTCAATAATTGCTCAAATCTCCTTGATAACTAAGTATGGAAGTATATCATTAAAATATCCATAAAATGGATCCAAAAAATATCTTAAAAGGATTATCACTTATCATTATTTTTTGCTCCAATTTCAAAGCCATATTTTAATCTATCTTAATGCTATTGTTTTTGAAATGAAATTTGAATTTATCTATCATAATAAAATACAAAAGTTTAAGTTTTTATAAGAAAATTCTACTCATATGATTGTAAAATTGAATTTCCAATACAAACAAACTTATATATATATATATATAATTTTCATTATCCTAAACACAAATTAAACCATTAATTTTCTCCATCAGCCAATAATTATTCAAATTATTCTTATTATTTTTATATTCTCATTTTTGATCTTTCATTACTCTTTTTTAAACGAGATTATATCTTAAATTCCCAATCATTATTTGAAGTTTAAATCTAAATATTTAATAGATTTTACTTTTAAATTATCACTTTATTCTTATTCTGATAATTTAACTAATCGATTTTATTTCTTCATATTATATTTCATAATTTATTTCTTGTTTTCACTTTCAACTGGAATAAGAGCTCTTTCTAATGTTAATTTGATTTGCTATCGTTCATCTTATAATTTATCACTGAAAAATAAATTTAGAAATTGATCTACAGTCATATTCTGAGAAAATGCTGCATCTGTTTCTGGTGAATTAGATCTTTAATTTTTTTGATCATCTTAATCAAAACATTTTAAACTTTTGCTCTATTTTCTTAACATTTGTGGATAAAAGAAATTAATCAATTAATCATTCTATAAAAGCTTACTTACATATTTTCTATTATCTTCTATTTATGATATATCGTATTTTAAAATCTTAATAATTAAAAGAGTTAATCCAAAATGATCCTTATGTTAAATCAATCTTTATAATAAATAAGCCATACAATGGGATTCTTTAAAATTTCTACTATTACATAATTATGCAAATGGAATTCCTGATAGAATATCCATTAACTATTATGGTTCCATTTTATATTTTATTATTTACAATGCCAAATTATCTCTAAATTCAAATAAATTCAATTATTTTAATACTGATCGTATTTCTGGAGAATTTTTAGATGCCATCAAATTTATTATTTGAAATAATAAAATATCTATTTCTTCATTAAAACCAACTAATTCTTCAAAATTCTTTACTAAAAAGTCAAAATTTTTTAAAAAGGTTACATGATCATTTTTTATTACTGGATTTTATAATAAATCTTTCAAATAATCTATTAAAATATGAGATGAATCATCATGTCTTTTTAAAATATCTATAATTTTCAATTTGTTTGATTTACTCAAATCATAATATATAATTGTCCTTATTATTTTATAAATTTATTATGCAATTCTCTTATCTGTATTTTACAATAACATACATAAACTTTATATAATATTTGAATCTAATAAAGTAGCTAAATTTTAATTATCCAAAATAGATTCAAAAATCTTCAAAATTTCAATTATATAATTTTAAGATTTATTTTTACCTAACATTAAAAAGAAAAGTTCCAATGATTCTAAATTTGTTATATGTTAAATAGGTTGTTTATTTTCTATATATTATTTTTAAGTTTTTTAAATTATTTCAGCAAATTCACTTCTACCCATTACTGAAGAAACATTACTGCTATTTTCTGTATAAAGTAAATGATAACTATCAAAATTCCAAAATACAAGTTTATATACAGTATTACATAATTAATTTGAAAACTCTTCTGCATTGATTAATTTTTATATCAATTAAAAGAATTTCTATTTATTACTGTAAATGGGATTCTAATAATATTAAAACAATAATTACTTTAATTTTGTTGCTTTTAGCATTCAAAAGATATAATATATTTGATAATTTAATACTTTATTCTTTTGTTGTTTCATATTAAAGAGTTGCAAATGAATTTGTTAAATATTCTCCATTTATCATTTTATCAAATACTTTATCCTAAAACATACTATGAATTGATAACAAACTTAGTATATCACTCATTGTAACTCCATAATTTTATTCGTTTAATTTTTTTATTGTTTCTCCTGAAAATACAAAATCAAACCATGGCTCTAAATCTACTTTATTTAAGTATATTTCTATAAATTAAATTAAAACTGGATATAGATTTACCATATCATAATAATGTGGTAAATTCTTACATATTGAAATAATCATATTTATTATTTGTTCTTAATTTTTGAAATCATTTTGTTTTAAAAACTATATGAGATTTTCAATAACTAATGTGTTTTCATCATGCAATTTGATTTTGAAAAAAAAGAGTGATATACATTATAAATATTACGAATTTAACTTTGAAATATCCATCAAGAATTCTAATAAAGGAGTTATTGGATTTTGGGGTTGTTATTCTAAAGCATTCCACATTTCATATTAAGAATAGATTAAGTATAAAACCATTTAAGGTTCTATTTTTAAATCATTATGTCTCATAATTCCTGCCAATGAATTAAACAAAACTTAATTCAAACGGAATTGTAAATTAGCAATTGCTAGATTACTTTTTTCGTTATATTCAAAATCAAATAGTTCTAGTATTTATTTACTTTGAATTAGTTTGAGATTTTTATTGATTAAATTCATAAATTATTCACATCTATTTTAACTAACCATATTTTTAAATATATCTACTTCTTGTTTTTATATATTATGATCACATACTAAAAATTAATTAATAATTTCAACAATTTATATAAAAAATACATAATTAGATTAATCCTTTGCCATTTACATATTGTTTTTTTTGGCTTATAAAAATGTTTGATAAATTTACTCAAAAATAATACTAAAATTTCGAAATGCTAATTCACTTTAATGATCAAAGGAATTCATATATCTACATTTTTTACTCATTTTCATTTCTATCATTTTGAATGTAAATCCAACAATTTATTTAAATTTATCAATATCATCAATAAATAATATGGCTAATTAACTTTAGATAGCTTCAAATTCAAGACTATAAAATCCTTCTAACTAATTTAATTATTCATAAAGTTAAAATAGTTATTAACATGTTTCATCTGATTATTGAAATTTAACTTTAATTAAAATATTTTTAAAATTTGTAAACATATATTCGTTATCAATATTGCAGAACTTTTCAGTAATTTATTCAGAGGATAAATATTATCTCATTTAAATAATAGCTAAATAATAATATAATTTTAATCTTTTTGCAATTATAACATTTTTCCAATTTTAATTCAATACTTCAACAATAATATTTAAAATTTTATCCTATTATACAGGTAATAATTCAAGCATCAAAGTAAATGCATCTAAATCATCAATCTCAGTATCTGTAGTTGATATTTGTTTCAAAAAATTATAGAACTATTGTTAAAATTATTCATCCTCTAAATCTTTATGGCTAATAAAATCACTTAATATTTGATAACCATTCACTCTTTTAAACTCTATTTTATTTCTAGCATTATTTTAAAGAATTTCTTAAATAGTCTAAAGTAAATCTACTTAAACTTCTGATGTAGCTTTTTCTAATGTTTCTAAAATTGCTTTAAATCCCCCTTGAAGTACTTAAAATTCTTTAAGTATATCTTCAGATTAAGATCTCTCAGATTATGTTTATGATAAAGCAAGTCTATCTGGAGGAGTATTATTAATACTGATAATTTTTTCATAAATTTCATTTTTATTTTGATCCTAATCTGAAGTTGATCTACTTATTGATTGTGAATTCATATAGAAACTTAAATCAACTTCAAATATTGATTGCAAACTTATCTATTATTCTATAGCTTATTCTAAGGTTAAAATTTCCTTTTTTTCAACAGAAAACTACTTTATACTTAATTGTTTATTATTTTAAGTTGGAAGGAAAACCTTAGAGAGTTCTGATGTTATATAAATAATGATTTAATACCTTAAAATGCAAATGATCTCAATGATCCTGCTATTTTACTAAATTTTTATTTGATTGTTTATTCTTGACTATCTTCTACATTGCATATAACTACTTAATTTATATCTTCTATTAGTAAAAAATGCAAGAGTGCCTTAGATATTACTCGATTAAGTTATGGATCCTTATTCATTAATATTGAAAGCAATTTGTGGAATCCTTATTATTCAAAAAATTCAATCCTTTAATTGAGATTCTCTGAAAATAAAACCTTTGTTACAAAATAGTTTATACAATCAATTTTATGATAAGAACTTTAGATTCAGTTTTCTATGCTTTTTCAATTAAATTTAAAAAGTCAGACAATACATTACGAGAATTTTCAACACTTTTACGATACTTTGGTTCTCTCAAAATTTATTCAGCCAATTAAATACATTATTCCATTATGTCTTAAACTAATTGCCCTTAATCTGCATTTCTAAAGATTATTATAAACAAATTATAACCTTTTTTAGATTTCAGGAAATTTATTCAAATAATCTAATATTACTACCAAAATTTAATTAGCATCACTTAAAATGACTTCTAACTATTGATCATTGCTTTTTAAAAAATTCTTAATTGTTATATTTGCTTATTCAAGAAATTGTTAAAATCTTTTAGCAAAATTCAAATTACTTCTTTAGTGTTTATGGATCATCTGATAAATTTGAAACTTTCTTGTAATCCTCCCATAGGTCTTTAAGACGTTTTTAAAGTGTATAGTTTTTCCATTTTTATTTAATAGTGTCCATAATTTATATATATATATATAAAGTCCATATAACTTGAAAATTAATGAAATTAGTTTAACTAATTAACAAATTATTTCAAAGAAAATGCTTGAAATATATTATTTACATAATATTATAATAAATTTTATTGCTTTTATCATTAAAATGGCTTAATATAGAGATCCTGTTTATGGAATAATTGGCAAAAATACATACGATCAAATGAGATATCCTTAATCAATTAATACAGACATTAATAATTAATATGCATAGAAACCTTTAGGTACAGAATAAGGACCTGGATTGCCAATGTAATTTGGATAGGCATCTGCAAGAGCTTATGCATAAGAAGTAAACTTCAAATCTACTCTAATAGTTCTAATTATCACCTGAAATTTTAGCATTAAATAAACAATAACAATTATAATAACCAAGCCAAGGTGTTCCTATTGTATAAAATATTATTCAACCATAACCTATATACTAAGAAATTTAACATTATGATAAACCAGTTAGTGTGGTACCACGAACTGATATTGAAGAGCCATGGAGAAGTATAATTTAATATTGATTATAGATAAATGTACATTCCTAGAAAAATAAATATATGATTTGCAATAAGAAAATTTTAGATTAAAATCATAAAATATTGCATCTGAAAAGATCAGCTATTTTGAAGATACTGGAAGAGTTAATTAATTAATGTAAGAAGTGGATAGACTCAATAAGACTATTATAGATTTGAATTCAGAAATTGATTAATGGAGACTCAGATACTCAAGTTTAGAAACTTAATTGAAAGCTAGATCTAATGTTGAAATGGAAGTTGAAAGAATGAAGAGAGCTGTTCAAGATAATGATAATATTGTTTAAGTTGAAATGAATAGATTGAGAGAATAATTAGATTAATGGTAGAGAAGATGTTAATCACTTGAGTCTTAGAGTTTTGAAGCATAAAACTTTTTAGCTAAATCTAGAACAAAAGAATAAAATATATGTAATTATTAATGATAAATTTTTAGTCAATTTATAATCAGACTTAAAAAAAGCAGAAATTAATTTAAAATTAAAATAAGATGATTTGGATACTGTCTAATAAAAATTAAATAGATTGGAAAAAATAGTTCAAGAAACTGAGTATTAAAACTAAGAAATTATTAAGTATAATTCAATTTCAATTTATATAGTCTTCGTAAAATAATTGATGATAGGAATAAAGAATTAGAAGTTTTAAGAAGATAAAGTCAATCTTAATATTCTAAATAAAATTTGAAAGATTTAGAAAGCAAAGTTTCATTATTTTAAAATGAATGTAATAGATTAAATTAATTATTAACTCATAAAGAGCAGGAACTTTAATTATATAGAGATTAATTAAAGAGATAATCTCATTATAGTAATAAATAATGACTTAGATTTAATCAATTTTATAAATTTTCATTTTTAACATCTATCTTATATAATATTAAATATAGTTATATAAATTTAAATTAATTCTTAAATAATATTGCTTATTCCAATATTATGATAATTTATATAAATTAAATTACTCAAATATACAAAAAATGATAATTAAATGTATATATAAATAATCTAGTTTGAAATTAGATTAATTTCATGATAATATCAATAATAATAATAACATCAAAACTATGATTTAATTGCTCTAATTCTATATCATATTTTCTTTAATTGAACATTAACAAACTCCATCTATACATCTTTCACAAACTCCTTTAGAAATATAAAAACTAACTTATATAATATTATATACCCATAAGTGCATTTAAGACAAATATTTGAATCAACACATCTTTCACAACCAGTACCACATCCTTAACATTAAAAACCATTAAAAAAATATGCAGTTGCACATTAATTGCATGATGAAGGTCCTGAACATTACAAACAATTATCACCACATGGATTACATGCACCATTTTTAATATAATATCCACTTTCACAAGTAAGACATGCAGTTTCATTTTGTACTTAACAATATTTAATAGAATTAGCAGTGCAAACTCCATTTTTAATAAAATATCCTGGTTTACATTCAACACAATGTCCTGGAGTATCACATTATTTACAATTGACATCACAAGCAATACAAGTTGAATTAAGTAAATAAAATTTAGATGCACATTTAGTACATTTAGTTCTATCATCCTATTAACAATTTTCACAATTAATATCTGGACAACCTAGACATTAATTATCTGCTGTTAAAACATAACCTATTTAACATTCAGTACATGTATTTTCTGAACATTTTTTACAATTTGGAGTACAAAATTCACAAAGTTTAGTTTCTTTCAATACATAAGCATCTTCACAACTAGTACAAGTGAAATCGTCATCACATTTTAGACATCCAGTTGGACATTTTGTACATTATTCTCCAACTAAATAATATCTATCAATGCAAGTATCACACACAAATAATTATTCTTCAACTTAAGTACAACTTTTACATCCATATGGACAATCTTTACAAACTATAGAAATTCATAAATTATTCTTTATTACTTCCTTTTTCTACATAGAAAGCATCTGCACATTATGAACAATAATCTGCCAATGAACAAGAAACACAATCATCTCCACATTTCTTACAGCTACCATCATCTTATTTTATGTATCCTGTTTCACATTTTGAACATTTAGAAAATAAACCATCTGGTTCACATACTTCACAATTTACCTAAATATGAAATCTTTAAATACTGGACATCTAATACAAGTAGATGTGGTTGAATTAAATCTGTATCTGTCTTCACATTCATTGCATAATTATGGATCACAACATCTTTTACATCCTTTTTAACAAGTAAAACAGAATGATAAATCTTCAAATTTGTATAAATAATCTGTTCCCAAACATCCAGTACTTGTAGGTAAATATT